AAAGACATAACTTTACGATGGTGGGCCAGTGTTGACTACCGTATGAAATTTTACCCATAACAACCAAGAAAGAATTTTTTTTTAAAACAATTTTGTAATAAAATAAATTAATTTAAATATTTTAAATAATATATTTCGAATTGAATGGAATAGGTATAAATAATAAAATAACTAGAAATATTTGGTTAAAAGGGTTTATATTCAGTGTAAAATCAAACTCCGCTATGAAGTATCAGTTTTGTATACAATTGTCTTTTAGACTCTTTTTTTATGAGTTTGTGTGAATATTTTACTTTCATGATACAATCTTATTTTTACCTATGTATAAATAATGGCATTTAATAGTTAAAGTGAATGATCAACTTGTACTGATAATAAATAATCCCCAGGGTGTGTTGCAAATTCTTTTAATATTTTAAAATACAAATAAAAAAAATAATATCTATATATTTTTTGTTTTTTATATTTTTTTATTTATATTTATTCATTTTTTTATTTTATATATATATATATATATATATATATATATATATATATATTTTTGTACAATTGTTATTTATATTTGATAATGAATTAAGAAAAATGAATGAATGAATGAATTAACTCTTTTGTACAAAAGTCTCCAGCACTGCGAGCTTGGCAGAAGGTGAACGTTCAACGGGTCCCTAAAAAAATGATCGATTCAGCCCTAACAACTACCGTTATCCTATATTTTATTATTATTGACAAAATGTTTAAAAACAGTATAAAGCATATTATTTCATAAATTATAAATTCTCCCACTAATGTGGGAAAACAAAAATGATTTTTTAATGGTAACACTGATTCTAAATTACAATTATCAATGTTTTATTTCAATTATAGCCTTATTTACGATACTATCAATTAGACTTGCAACGAATAGTATATTCGGCAGTATACCGAATACCGAATATTCGGCGAGGCCCCTGACCGAATAGCCGAATATTAGGCAAAAGTATTCGGCTGGATTTTAGCGCCAAAAACTTGTACAGACGTGAATTAAATTATGTACCTGTTTTATGTACCAATGACTACTTAATAAATGATTATAAAAGAAATGAGAACCTTACCCTTCTAAATTTTGATTACCACAATAATTCAAAAAAATAGAATCCTCAATTTTTCCTATTCAGAAGATGATTATGTACCTGTGTTATGCACCAATGACTACTTAAATGATTATAACAGAAATGAAAATATGAATATATACGTAATCAATCGATTTTAATTTTTCATTTTACCAATTATTTCTCAATGACAAAATATATTATTTAAGTATTCGGTATTCGGCCGAATAATATGTAGATATTCGGTATTCGGCCGAATATAATAAAAGCAGCCGAATAGGCCGAATACCGAATAGTAACCGAATATTCGTTGCAAGCCTACTATCAATACAAAAACCATAAACTTACACGTGATAAGTAATTCCGCATGATTTATTATGGTTTTGTGACCTTGAATCGCATTCTTTCACTACGCATTTACCCATTTTGGCGATTGTTACTGTCATGTGTCGCTATGTTCAACTCGGTTGACGCCACATTGAACACTGAATTGACGTTTGCTACGCATATGCCTGTGGACAGATGTGCAGTAGCAACGATTTTAGGCGGTAATTACTCATCTATGTAAGTATTATATCAATGGGTGTAGTACGGTACGTGACTGCAGTCCATGAGCGTACTCCTTGTCACTTTCCATTAGGTGACCCATCTGGGCTTCAATTCTGCTATTTTATGTTCACGCCAAGCAACTGTCATACCACTGACAAATTGAGGCCCTGCTCGTCTGCCCCCTCTATCATAAAAAAATATGAGATTCGACATCGATTCCCGGACCGGGTAAAATTTTATAGGGGTTTTATTGAGAGGAAAAATCCCCTAAGTTACTCCTTATATAAACATCAACCTGGTAAAATATTATCAAAATTGGTCCAGCTGTTTTGAAGATTAACCGGAACAGACAGACAGACCCCCTTAAAGATGAAATATCCAAAATCTTTTCTCAGCGGGTACTTGCAACATAAAAAGCATCAGCTGCAAAAACTTGAAATTTGTAGCCCCAGCGGTTTAGACTCTGCGTTGATGAATTAGTCCGTCAGTCAGGACAAGTAATTTCATATGTAAAGATTAGAATTATCTATGCTAATTGCACAGCCTAAATAATATATGTATATAATCCTGTATACTACATATTGAAGTCCAGATTCGGATCTAGCGGGGGCAAACCGGGGTACCCGCCCCTGGCGACAGTTTCAGGGGTCGCACAAAATTATAACATAGTATGATTAAAAATAAAAAAAACTTGCTCCACCAAGCGCCTAGCATACGGAAGCCTGGTTTTTTTTACCGTCGACTTGAAAGAAAAAGGACACATGCCTACACTACAAGTGAACTTATATATTTGTAAGTTTTTAAAGTAATTTATCTCAAACGCTGTATAGAGGGGCGCCACTATCAAGTTTCTTCCTCGGTTCGAAAAAATCGTAGATCCGGGGCTATTGAAGTCCATACAACAATAAGCTGCCTTCACCGTACTCAGTTACCTTGAGTACGGTACTAACCACGTCACTCAATACATTGTTGATAGTTGTTTTAAAAGTAGGATTGTGGCACATTGCTATAACCAAGATGTACCTATTAGAGTCAAGTGCACGTGAAATAAAATTCGTTGTTATGTAAATTGGCAAGCTCGTTCATGTGCTAATATAGTTGGGTTAACTTGTGTCGTATTTGTATTCCACTTGTCAAATATTAACGGTTTTACTAAAGTATGTATTTTGGGGATGTCCCACAAGTTGGACTGTATACAGTTTGACACCTGACACAGTCGTGGTAGGACGTTCCATTTCTCGTTAAAAGCCTCTGTTTCATCCGACACTAGTCCCGTGAGTAAAACAGTATATAATTAATAAATATTAAACGTTTTGATGTGTTACATCTATCATCTCGCTGTTCTGTATTACGTTTGAGCGATTTCGTTAACAGGGACGGAAGTGTGTAACAGAGTAAGAGGTGGCTGATTAAGCGCGCGCTATTTGAATCGACTAATAAGCAAGTGAGATGACAGATGTTACACATCAAATGCGACTACTGTAAGGCTTGTTCATTTTTTACATATATTCGAATTTTAAATATGTATACATTTATTTCAAAGAATGTAAATTATTGCCAAACCTCAAAAAATACCTCAATTGAGATTCTGCTATTGCATCAAATATTGTAAGTACTGTAATAGTGTGAGTGTTGTTTTGTAACATTTGTTTAGTGAATCATTGAAGATGTATTAATTCACACGTTACTGAAACTGGTCACCTTGACCACAAAATGGTAGATTGTTGTCTATTATCTGAGAGTGCAGTGGCCTCGCATACATATGTACACTTAGTACAATCATAATAAAGTATTTCAACTTAGATTCAAAAGATTCATTATAATTAAAAAAATATTTCACTGTTACTAATTCGACATTATATTTTTTTGAGAAAAAGAATGACATAGATAAAATAATAATATATATATTTACCTTATACTTAACATAAAACTATTTATTTTACTGGTATGGTATTTGCTATGAACAAAGAGGCTTTATGTACATAGTATTATATAGAGATAAAACAGTCAGTGTGAAATCATTGCGAAGGTCGTACAAAACTTGCTGTGCTTCGACTAATACGATTGTAACTTACCGCCACGGACTAATCAGCAGTCAGAGAGGCTGCAATTGAGTTTGTACCGTATTCTGTTCAAATTACAATTAATCAAAAGTCAAAACTATTATAAAATCTCTATCAGAAGAGCCGAAAAAACTTTTAGGTTCTAAAAGAGGAGACTAATAAAACTTTCGTAAATCAAGGGGTAGGAATACCTACTTTTCTACTCTTGAGTTGTATATTAAAAAGCTAATGAATAGAATCAATTTGCTGGCTATTCTTTAATCTTGAATAAAAGAATCTTGAAATTCGGTAATATTAATTGGGAGGTTTTACTCTTCACCCACAACTATTTTAAATATCAGAAAAGTTTAATATCCCAACTTGACTTAAAATACGTTTAAAAATATCGGTCTTATAGTAGTTTCTGTCTTCTTTTTCTACTAGAGTATACGACGAGACAAATTAATAAAATACCTACTTAGAATGATAAATAGTACGCAGGAATTCGGTAATTCCTATTTTCTCACAATAATCTGATTAAAATTAAAATAGTAGGTGCATTTCTCTGTTAAGCTTCTCTACTAATATTACTCTATGTCATTACGTTCCTTGTGATTTCACATATTGTTTAGCGACACATTGTGAATTCTAATGCTTTAGTTACTAGGTAATTAATACTCTTTTACTCAGAAATACAGTTAAATTTTGTACGTTCACATATTTCCATTCTCATATCACACATTATGGGCAATCCTGAACATGTCCATCTGCGAATTCATGTATGAGACAGATTATCATAATTCTGTGTATGAGACAGAATTTACATTTAGAGAACTGGTGCTAAGCAGTTCTTTAGATCTTTTTCAGTTATTTAGTGAAGTAACCTAATGTCCAAGCCCTCTCCCCTCTCTAATCCTTGGGTAAGGCACTCATGGGCAGCATTTTAGACAAATAGTCACTTGCCATCAGGAGACCCATCTACCCATTGCATCCCTACACTATAAAAAACGTCAAATAGACATATTCTTCTACTATTATAAAAATGTAACAAAATGGTTTCTATTCTTTGATCAAAGATTTGAACAATTCCGACCTGGCCAGTGAAAATGGCACAATGTTAAAACGTAAAAACGGTGTATGTGAACAAATAGTGGGTACTTGGACATAAGTAACTATAGTTTGTACTCAAATGATCTGTAACTGTCAGCAAATTTACGAATATACGTCCAATAGTGAATTTGTCGTTTTATCGATCGATATTCGTATCTTCTTGGACTTTTAAGAATTTAATTTTTATTATTTTTCCTTTAGATAAAGAAAGATGGCGACTTCAGTGCTGCAGCCAGAAGACTGCCGAAGGGATCACGAGCCAAGACCCGATATTATCGAGACACCGAGGTTGACTGACGATGACCGAATTTTACTCCTCGAAGCTAAGGAGCGGGAAACTGGGGAACTACCCCCGGAACTAAGAGAAACAGCCAGGAATGAGCTCAGAGAAGAGCCTGCATTGAGAGAACATGCCTTGGCACAAATGAGACACTTTATTGATAAGCATCCAGCGATCAAAAAATGTCGAACAGGTGAGCATCTTATTTTTTGTCTATCGTTTTGTTACTGTTTTTTTAATACCTAATAATAAAAATCGTTTAAAGGCAAAAAGCTTTATAATTAAAATATTAAGCTAACGTACAAGTGATAATGATATTTTATACTAGCTGCGCCCCGTGGTATTACCCACGGTTGTTGTTGTACCTTGCTCATCAAACGGAAACACCATATTTTGTCAGCATAAAAAGTAGCCTTCAGATTATAATCTATCTCTGTGACAAATTTCATCCAGATCCGATCCGATTTTGCGTGAGAGTAACAAACATTTTTCTATATTTCTTCATATTTTTCCTGATTCCATACATCCACACCAACTATCCCCTTTATAATATTTTGTTTTGCAAAGTCGAATGCGTAGATTTACTACAAAATCTCCATTATCGTAATAACACACTTACTTACATAAGAAAGTAGCAATATACACATGAACGAGATACTTACGTTTGCTACGCTGGGAGTGTTGTAATCTTTAGAAAGAGATTAACTAACAAATTGAAAGAAAAGGTACAGTAAAGTACCTAAACGCTACAGCACAATCCATATCTGTGCTATAGCGCTCTTGACCTCATTTGTTTGCTTAGTTATATTGTATTAACAAAGTATTTTACACTCGTACGAAGCGTTCAGATCATTTTTATTCAATGGTTTTATTTAGCTTGCCTTGTCTGTTATTTTTTGAGTAAGTACTTTAAATATACCCCCTTTTTTGCTGGCAGACTTTCAGATTCTTTTGACAATACAATTTAATTTATTCAGTACTAGTAACCAAAAAAATGACTGGTGTATAGTGTTACTATTTACATAATTATTATTTTATTTCGAATTAAACCGTTCAAGTAAAAAATGTTACCTATTTATTTTTTGATTTAAGGTTTTTTATTAATTACAATAAAATTATAATCTATGATTAAAATAATTTATTTGAGTCCTCATGACATTAAGCGATGATGAGAGACCATAGAAAATAAAAAATATATAACTTGCTAGTATTTTAAGTAATTTTTTTGATAGTAGCAACTCGTAGCGGCACAAACTGTAACTTCTTACAATTGCCTACCTTCCTACACAACTTATCCCTGTGCCTTTTGACAAAGAAAAACTGATTTCAGAATAGAAATAATCTAAAAAGTTAAAATATTCTTTTACTCACTATCTTTTATTGTAAACAGACACCCCGTTTCTCCTCCGGTTCCTCCGTACCAAGAAGTATTCGATACCACAAGCTTGTTCCATGCTGGAGCGTTACCTTACCATCAGGCAGATGTACCCTCAGTGGTTCCAAAAACTAGACCCCCTGGACCCCAAGATGGCCGCTGTGATTGACGCAGGATACTTAGTGCCGCTACCGAAGAGGGATGCTGAAGGAAGAAGGGTGGTGTTATCTTGCATGGGTATGTAGAAAATTTATGTAGATTAACTAGACGAACTAAAAAGTAATAAATATTTTTCTGTAACTTTAAGAAGAAAAATCATTAAATCGTAAACATATCCTACGTATGTTTACGATTTAATGATTTTTGTAAAAATTGTTGTAAAAATATTTTAGATATTGGTAAAAGTAGTTGTTATATTACAAAATATTTTGAAAAGCACCCCACGCTTTTTTACGACTAAATGCTTTTCCTTTTGAAGTTACAGAAAATTACTTTCTACTCTTTAGTTCGTCTCGTTCAAAAAGCGTGTTTTTTGGTTTTTTAAACTGTAATTTGCGTTCTAAAATTGCGTTAAAAGATTCCGTTACATAGATACGAGTACATACATACATACAGGTCAAGCTAATAAAAGCGTCTTATTTTTTTTTTTTAACAATGAAAATAAATTATTTCATGAGACTGAAGAAATTATATTTGTAACTATTTTCAAGTTTCTTATTTTTCAACAGATTATCAAAAGTACATAATAATTTGTGTATTTTTACATTTGTGAACTTATTTTTTTGTGAACTGATTGAAATGCGTAGTACCTATACAAGATATTTTTTTAATTATAAGATAGTCTAAAGAGAAGATCACAACGTCGTTTAGAAGACACTTGACTTGACACACGTGAATTTGTAGCTTACAAGAAAAAGATTTTATTTGATTTTACCAAAAAAAAAAATCTTTACAACACCTAAAAAATCTTAAAATTTTGTCTATTGGAGACAAACTTTTAAGATGTTTAGGTGTTCTTACATGATGATAATGATGAAAGAAATATCCTAAATATTTTTTTGGCATTAATTTTACATATCATTCCTCCTCCTCGCTTCGGTTGCCTCAATGCTGAGGGTCGTGACCGAAGTATTCCAGAACTCTATGCAGGCAGCTGGTAGAAAGCCTTGTCTGTATCTTGAGTTCTTGCAGGATTAACACGACAGGTTGACACATATCATTCATTACATAGTAAATACATGGTTACATATGAAATAGGTAAATAATATTGGGCTAAAATAATAACAGCAAGGTCACCGTAAACATAGTGCCTATTATCCATCCCTTCTTATGCATTTAATGAATTTTATATGATTCTTATAATTAGTGATTCTGTATGCATATCACGTAACCAAATACGGACAACTATTACTTGAAGCCAATTTCATCAAGGTCGGTTTGAACACCGACGTAATCGCGCCTTAGTTACGTACTGTGACATACATGTTTAACTTGCAGTAGGTCACTTTGGGATCGGATTATTTTTGCAACTTTTTTTTTACTAAAGTTGTTTTTTGTTTATGATGTTGGCATAGAACACGGTTGGACTGATAGCGAGCGATTACCATCGGCCTTTGTCGCTTTCTAATTTTTGTGTAAGATCGCAGAGAAAGAGAAAAAATAGTACGCTTGTAATTTTGTCTAATTGCCGACTTTTGAATAAATAGTTAAAGTACCTTGTCATTTAATTAGACATCTCTTCAGAACTTCAGGTTTTCTCACGCAAGGTTGAGGCCCACCGTTTTTTAGTACTGTTCTGCCTGTTGCACCGTCTTGTTCACCGTCTACCTACATAATAAACTTCTTTATTAAACTGACACCGTGTGAGCAACGTAATGTTCTGTCTTAGTTGTAGTACTTTTCAGGTATATGTATGAAATTATGCATAACAATCTTGTGTTCAGAGAATAAGTCGTTATTTGACATTATAGTGTTTTTATGAATACAGGAGGGTATAGAGTGATTTCCTTCTTATTAAATTATAGTTTTAAAAAAATTAAAACACACGCTTTTGTTACTAGCCGAACTAAAAAGTAGAAAACAATTTTCGATAAGTTCAAAAAGAAAAATAATTTTATCGTAAAATACGTGGGGTGCTAGATCTTAATAGACAGATATTGGTAAAGGTAAATTTATTATTATAAAATATCTTGAAAAGCACCCCACGCTTTTTTTTAATTATAATTTATTTTTGCTTTTTTAGTCATTGATGATAAATGTTTTCTCATTAAGACTATAAAGTAACAAGTACATAAGTCACATATGCATCCCATTTCTTCCACACACGACTCTAAGTACGTAGCAAAAGACACTACCGTATTTTTAGGTATGGAAACAGCCGTTAATCCTGAAGAGTCTGATCAGGATAATCGGCCAAATTTATCAAATTATTGTTTTGTCATCAGTTTTTGATAAGTTTGCGAAATTCCATTTAATTCGACATTTTAATGTGGGTCAAAATCACATTTGAAGATTCCATTACATACATATATACCAAGCTAATAAAAGCGTGTTAAATCGCACTAACTAGACTTAACCCTGGAACCGTCCTTGTATAATCATTACTTAGTGAGGGAATCTCTTCATAGGTCGCTTCGACCCACATGCCTACGACAGCTGTGTGATGGCACGCGTCCACTCCATGATCGTCGAGCTCCTACTGGACGAGCCTCGATCACAACTTCTGGGCTACACTCACGTGAACGACGAGGCTGGCATGCAGATGCCTCATGTTAGTTTGTGGTCACTCAGTGATGTGCGGGTTATGCTTAATTGTATACAGGTAAGGATTTAATCTACAAACGATTATAGGCAAGAAGTCTTAAACATACCTTTTGATTTCTGTGCGGCAACCTCCTCGTACCACCGTACCTCATACCACCGTACCTCATACCACCAACCCCAGTGGGGAGGGTATGTCGGATTGAACCGGCCAAAAACTGCAAGCCGTCTCGGGTACCAGTTGCCGGGGTACCAGGTGTACCTTAGAAAGGAAATCCCTGGTACCCGAAATACCTTGGGGTACCAGGGATTTAAGGCGTGGGATTTATCTACTATCTTATCGGCGTGTAGATGACCCCTTCCTGTGTGGGAACCCCTATGTCCCCTTTGTGCTCCCGAAAGTGCTCGTCGCCACCACCTATACTATCTATTAGTTGGTCTATCAGATTTGAATAAAGAGTTGCATGTTCTGTAATATATATCTTCTAACGAATCAGTCCGTAAAGCCATGTTTTGACTCAAAAAGGTATCTACAAAATATATGTATCTAAAATAATGTTCTATTTTTTCACAGAATTCAACTCCAATGCGTCACAAACGTACTCACTTCGTGAACATACCACACTACGGCGTCAAGTTCTTCGAATTTGCCGTTTCTTTGCTCAGTGATAAGCTAAAGGATCGCGTCATGGTAAAATGAATTCAATATACATTGTTATAACTATTAAACTATATTACAAGTATTAAGTGCCTAATAATAAGTAAAGAGAAAAAAACTATATTACAAGCTGTAATGAAGTATGCCGCAGTAGTTATGACCACTCTAACTATCTTTAGGTCAGTTTGCATCAAATCTTACAAGATTAATAAAACCCCTTATATTATATATATTATACTTTTTTATGGAATCAAAATTATTTATAGAAGTACATTTTCGACTGTAATGCATTTTTATGATAAGCATTATTTATTTATTTAGTTCCTAATGCACATGTTACGCATAGGCGGACTTAATGCCATATGGCATTTTCTCTCCGTCGACCTTCAAGTGATGTAGAAATATGATGGGGTTCTGTTCCTAAAAATTTATTTAATAAAAGATAAACCTACATAAGATATAATTAATTTACATAAATCGTGGTAATTTACTGATTCTGATAGTGCAACTCTTCTATAAGTTTTTTGGTCTGTTCGCTAGAACATCACATCACGTCATCACATCAACTACCTTTAATAGTCAGCTGCTGGACATAGCCCTCTCCTCGGCAAGGAGGTTTTGACCTACTATACCACGCAGGCCAGACGGGTTGTTATAGGGTTTACAGTATTAAATAACTTTGAAAATAGGTTTATAAACAAATGTTTATAAGGTACCTACATACTACACGGCCTACACATATCACCAACTTTGCCTCAAACAAAGCATACATGTAAATGTTTGCATAAATATATTTTTTTCATGTTCTTTTCAGTTTCATCGCACCAGTGATGATTTAAGTAAGCACGTAGATCCTGCCATTCTGCCTAAAGAGTATGGTGGTACTGTGCCTCTCAGAGAGATGATAGAGGATTTAAAAAGAAACCTACTGAAGCACAGAGAAGCTCTGTTAGCCCTGGATGAAATGTGTGTTGATTTACACGCATTGGAAAAGAACGACCTAAGTCAAGACATACATTCTACTGCAGGGTCTTTCAGGAAACTGGAACTTGATTAGTTATTCATTATTATTTTAAAGATTTAGAATATAGAATATTTTAGTAACTGTTTAAATTGTGCCTTAAAATACTATTATCGTTTGAAGTGAGCACTTTGGTTAGTTTAGGATTTTTTTGTTATTTTGCTTCTTTTTCATTTTGCTTGGAGATTAAATATAAATATAATTATTTTAAGTAAATTAATAATTTTGTGATGGATATTTTATGTAAAAACTTTCTATGTAAGTGCTCAACTATGCGTAAACAGATCTCATTCTGCCTGAATAGATAAGCTATTTTTTCTATGAAATATAATAGGTATTTTATTAACAATATGGTCTATGACACAAAAAGATTTCGTGCTGAGACTACATTTCTATGGCAAATCACATTGTAATTAATTCTGTAGGGCTTCTTTTATTTAGTTATTTTATAGTGCTTGTGGAAGCCGTTGGTGGTGTCACGTTACCATTCTTTGTGGAAAGATTTGACAATATTGTCATTGCCACTGATGGAAATCGTTTTATTCCCCTTATGTATGTATGGAGGGTAGTGGTAAGGAGAACCGACTCTGTGTATGAAAAGTGTCTGTCAATATGCATAAATCGGGGGCGCTACAGTAGCATCAGATTTTTATAAAGAAACTGCGTAAACTTGTTACGAGTAAGATAGATAAATAAACATTGTAAGAAAAACATTGTGTAAAATTTTATTGGCTTGAATAATGATTAAACACTGTGTACTAAACACCGAAAATAGTGATTTAATTTTACCGACAATAAATAAACTTTCAGACAATAAAAATATTTAATATTTTAACTCAGCAAACTGCAATGTTCATGTCATTCCCGTTGGCTACACTAGCGCTATGCTGATAGGTTTAAAAACTATAATTTACTATTCAGTATTCATCATAGAGATAAAACCTATAGGAACACGCCCGCCAATCTTGCAACATAGGCAACGAAAGAGATGGATAATAAATAGTCCCCTCTATCTTTTGCCGAGCTCTGTGGTTGGCTGGGGAAAATCAGGGGTTAATAAGTAGCCAATCGCAGTTTAGCTAGACAGAAGGAAATATTGAGCAGCTGTTACTCTGTGTTCTCTCTATGGTTATATCTCTATGGTATTAATAGCTGGACGCTTTTTCAACTTTCCCATATATGAGTTCGTTCTCCTTACCTCTACCCTCCATACCCTTATGTCAAAAGTACTATTGACTAGTACCATTGATGGTACTAGTGACACCACTTTGTAAAGATATTGCTTCATAATTTGTGTTCGATAATGATGGAACTTCTGATACAAGTCCTAGTAAGTTTATATAACATTTATTATATCTGAATATTCATCTCCTAGCCCCTTATACTCTTACACTACTTCGGCTTTGTTCAGTGGTATATACATTATCAAGTGGCTTTGTATCCTTTGTGCCATCAATGGTACTAGTGCTACAGCAATTATTAAGCTATTATTAGCAGTTCCATTGATGGTACTAATGATGCAAAGTCGTGTCATCAATGGTACTGGTTAATGGTACTCTACTGGGCCTACTGGCCTACTGGCATAAGTTTGTCAGTTTTTATGTCACGTATTTTTAGGGTTTCTGCCAACATGACGAACTGACTGCTGCAATAAATTAACTTTTTGGAAATGGCTACCTTGTAACAGCGCTTCAAGTTCCGTTATTATTGTCCAAAACTGTATATAGTGTGAGATTTTAAAATTAACAATAAATACTCTAGTTTTCTTCTGTTATTTTATTTATTTTTCCAAAATAATTCATATAAATGATTTTCGCTTTACAAAATATGCCTATTTTTCCCATATTATGAACAATAAATTAAACAGCAGATTCACATTTTTTTTTAATCACAAAAGCATATTTATTCAAATAATTTCTGGTAGTTTTTTTATGACATATCAAAGACTATATGCCGTATCAGAGTATTCAAATCTTGCCTCCCTAAGAATAACTTGGAGCTCACTTTTAAAAGAATAACTTCGAGTAAGTTCTTGTTTTTAAAGTAGGCCAGGAGTGCTGCCAGACGCAAAAACAATTTTTTAGACAGTCATACAAAACGATGGATGTTACGTGGCGTGTATATGAGAACTTGGTTGTTCGACAGCGTGTTTATGCATCATTATTTATATTTACAAAGTACCTACTATACTCTCTGTAATTAACTATAACATGTAGTGAGTCTGCCTCTCAGACTTGTCTGCATCCAAGTCACAGGGGATTAGACGTATTTTCATCAACAAAATAACAATACTGTCAGACTTATAGAAGGAAGTTCTTTCTTTGGTTTTTATATTTCATAAAAATTCTGGGTCATAGTTCACCAGCAAAAATATTGTCATTGTTAATTATTCTAAAATATAGGTCTAATTTGAGTCAATCACGTAATATTATGAAAAATATTTAAATATTTCCATAGCATTTTACAGATTTTGTGAAATTAGTAAAGTGAAAAGAACGAGGTTATCTTGCACTAAATTGAGGTAAAATAAAAATAATTGCTAGTATAAGGACCAGAATTTCTCATTTTACTCGAATTTCTAAATAAAATTGAATCTACAGTAGCACAACGCAGGTAAAAATAAATAAAGTTCTAGCCAATCATTATCTGTATTTTTCATAATTTTTCATAACAGTTGAAAACCATAGATACCAAGCCATAGACACATTTTTTTACACCATAGATTCTAGATTGACCTTGAATTGTAAGGATGTGCTGCTAACTTCGCTGTAGTTTTTCCCGCAGTTTGGCGTCTACATACTAGATTGATAAAAAAATTATTAGTACGGATTTTCTATGTATTTAGATCAATAAGAAGATTATTATCCCGTGATTCGTACTCCAGTGACATTTTAATGAAACGGTTATGCTATAATAGTGATCAGTTTGTTGGAGTCGTTATATTGTGGTGGTTTTTGTAAACATCGGGACGTGAACACAGGCCCACGTCTATGAATTCTTGTACGTATTCTAGCCATTATTGTTTTCAGTTCTCTGTTTATGTAAAATCACTAGTCAAAACGCAAATCGTTCATATTTTGGTTTAAATTGACATAGGTTTAGTGTATTAACCTCTTAGGATTGTGTTGTTTGCTTGGTCGTAAAAGTGGGTCTGCCATAATCTAGTGTAATTTGATTGTTGTATACCACGAGCACAGCAACAGGGTAGTGTAAATATGACGATCATCGGAGCAATTCTTTGAAATAATGTAAGCTTATAAATTAAATTCAAAGACACGTCATGTTTTTTGGTTTCAAAACATGGTATTTAGAAATGTTTTGGGTAAACTTATGCTAATATTTTGTATTCGTACTTAATCAATAAAGATTTGCGTGATAACATGTCAAATTTAAGTTTAGGTCAAGAACAGACAGTGTGGTAGAGATCAGGATGTTTGTATACAGTCCAGTGGGATTAGATGACGCGAAATTATTTCATGACCAACTTACTGAACTGCAATCAATATGACACAATAACGTTATAACTTCGTTTGTTGTAACTTATGCATCAACAAAATATTTTCACTATGTATAATTATATACTACTTACATACTTTGTCTTGATGCTAAAAAGAATTCTGTTTTCAAACTACTGAAAGTGTTTAGTGTGGTCTGGTGATAAAGCTTCTCTTCTTTTAGGGCTTGTAAGGCTTGTTTTTGAAATTATGCAAATAATTCGAATTTCAAATTCAAAAAAGTTACAATTTAAAATGCTTATCCTTTCAAAGTTTTAGATCGTGAAAATGTTCCAATTTACAAATGTTTCACTTTAGTTTAATTTTCAAGATAAATATATCTAATAATACATAATGACCCTTATTATTTAAGATTTTTAACTTTGAAATAGTTTATTTTGGCTCCCGTAAGAATTACTAACCTTACACATCAGGGTTAACAAGGAAGAGGCTTCTGTGCTTCTTGAAAAAGCTAGGTTGGCTCACTAAGCGAACCTTGCCCACACGCACAAATGACCATTATTGAGTGTAAATATAGAAGTTAGAGGCCCCCCCTGCCCAATACGCATAGCCACTCGTTAATACACTAGTTACACAAATCTTATTTTGGTATTTAAAACTACATGTTTTAGTAAAGAAAAGCATCTTCAAAACTATTATTAATAGGGAAAATAGAACAACTTGTACTGTGTGCAGTCATACTTAGTCCTCAAGCATCAGCGAGTCTCAACAATCTTCTTATGTGTGATAAAGCCTTGAAGCATTTTATTCCCAGTGAAGACATCTTATTAAATGTTCATATGTAATGGTTATTGAAATATGTAATAACTGTTCAGTAGTTAGTAGATAGACTACCTTGAGAATATTATTATATTTAAAAATATGAATTGCAAATAATTTGTGACAGAATTTTCATATTAAATCTTGTTAGTTTCCCGCAACATGTAATAAAATTTTTCAAAGATAAAACTTTGTATGTAATATTTTATTTTTGTTTTAAACAAAAACAAAACTAAGTCCCTTAACCTAACTATTTAATTCAACTTTTAACATTATTTTCTGTCTTGATATTGTATTTCTAAATGTTTAGTACTGTTTGTTTGGAATGTTTTCACACAAGTTAATACTTTATTCATGTAGCTTTAACGTGTGGCATTGTTATTATTTTGGCTCAACATTTAAATTTGCATAGAGAAATATTAAGAACTTAATACTTATGAGATGACATGATGATCATATTTCAACTAAATAAATAACTCTTCTCATCTTCTCTATCTATAACAAATCTATGAGCTGGTCCTTAGGCAAACTAGTAAGTAACACTTTAATTTTGTTCTCTCAATAATTTAAATTTGGTTAAGACATAGCAGAACTTATATGAGACTATTACAAAAGTAATATTTTTCAACAAACTTTTAATAAAGTTTTATGACATGTCATTATTAATTCTAAGTTATCTAGTTACATGCATAAATGTTGCCTTTACAACAAAATGTGTTGCTAAACTATTTATATATATTTCATGGAAACTAAAGAAAGTTCTTGAAGGTTCTACAAATTTAGTTTTTGAGTATTTTTAATTGCACAATACACACAACAGCAATATTGATACCAATTTGTATTTATATTATTACAACTGGTTTTTTATTGATACTTCAAAACAATTATGAAACAGCATCCCTAAATCTTTTTCTCTTTTTAAGTATTCTATACAGTACTCAAAATCTAATTATAAACATTATGTAGTTATGTACTTGTCTAATACTTATCCTTTAAAAGTTATACATATACAGACAATACCAGGCACACTCCTTTTTTCTTCTTTAGTATTCTAAACAAGCTTAAGGCAGTCCATTCATTGGCTTTAGTATATCATAATAATCATAGATAGGGAGACCAGTAGCATTTCTATATTTTCAGTATTCTAAACATTACTTAAGGCAGAAAAAAGATGCAGGTTAACTCAACCTCAATCAATCGAAATCAACCATAATATCTAATTTTAGACAACATAACAGTTTTGACTTATCTATTATATACTCATATTAAGGTATATTAATATTACTGATCAGTATTCATTATTGCTAATGTGCAATTAGGTTTTGTTCTTAGATATAGAAAATAAAAACAAATATACAGAATTACAAAAAACAAACTGCACAGGTGGCCCTGCATCGTAAGAAGTGTTTTATCTCCTAGGCAACCTTTAGATGGATAGGAGTGCAAAGAATAACTTGGTTGTTTTTAGTGACAATAAACTGATTTACTTCTGATTTACATATTAATACTTGTAATTTAAGTATATAGTAGGCCAAAACCTTCTTTTTTAAGGAGAAGAGCCTATGTCCAGCAGTGGACTATTAAAGGCTGTTGATGATGATGATGATGATGATATATGAATAAACATACAGATGTTATAGGGTTGTTGATCAGTGCTATATAATAGTCCTGTTGTAAGTTAATTTGCTGCTCATAACCCCCTCATCCATTTATGAAAAAATCCAATAATATTATGAAAATGTTGATTCTTTTGTGAAGTTGCACAAAGGTCAATCACAGTGCAGTATAGCAGAAGTGCAGCAATTTTTAATACAATTATGGATTAAATGAGATGAACTGGTTACTTGTTGCTGTGATCTTAGGTTTAATTTGGTATGGTACCTGATAAATACTTAGTCCAGTTTAGAAGTCGACTTAGTACATGAGGACCTTGGCTGATAATGTTACAGACATAGGTGATTAATTGTCTAGATTAAGGTTATTAGGCCTGAAATATTAAAAATAAACTTTGCCTTTTACTGCGATTTGCAATGATGTTGTATTTTGAATGCACAGATTGGCAGCATGGCGGAAATAGTGTACCCGCAAGGCTGCCGACCAATCACCGATGACCTTGGTCCAGATGAACTCGTGAGAAGATTAAAGGTATGTCTAGTTTTAATGTGTGACCACATTAAAACCTGTTTCCACTTCATTCAGCACTTATAACCGAGTGTTAATCCTCCAGGAAAGCCTATTATTCTCTTTCCTTATTGAGTTAAAATATCTGCTTTCATGTGCATTATTATTACTTCCTTTCCAAGAGAGGTCCATGTCCAGCAGTGGACTATTAAAGGCTGTTGATGTGATGCGTGCACTAGCCTTAGTTCCTATCAATCTCACGAGCAGTCTCAAGCAAAGCTGTAATGGGATGATGGTTAAGCAAGCAATTGTAAGCAGTAGCTTTTACCTGTTACTGCCAAAGCCATGATTCACCACAGCAAAAATATTTTATGAATGTACATATTTGCATATTTTTTTTAAATCCATGAATTTGCATGTTAACAGATTTTGTAGATCTAAATGATTCAAGAAAAAAATTAATGCCTTATGAAACAGTATGGTAAGTATTTAATTCCTTTTTGTGAGTTTGTTTCCCCTAGAGAAGTCCAAATATAACTTATATCACAATAGAAAAAGGAACATTAAAGGTAATAAAGGCACACAGTAATTTCTACTGATTATGTATTAAGTACATAAATATCATTTCATTAAGTAATGACTACAGAATTATTAAGTTATTATAACTGGTTTATAATATATTGATTTATATAGTGTTGTACATTGGACATTATTGAGACTGTACTGTATAGAAATACCAGTCCAATCAATGCAATTGTGACTGAGCTATAAGCTGAGTATAAAAGATTTAAAAAAAAATTACATCTTGAACGCCTGTGTTGTTGACAACTTTACTTACTTTTTACTATACTATTAAGAGTTAAGATTCTTCTCCTTGCATCGCTTATCCTCAATATTGAGGGTTTTGGGATATTTTTCAATTCTCATTCTGTCTATGTATCATGGACTGGGTAACAAAGGTGGAACTAATCTTTTTTGACCAACGTGTGGCTTCTGCTAAGGATAGCTTTCTAGTTTAGTATATTTTTTATTGTCATATAGTGTATATATAGTTAGTTTGGAGTCTAATGTATTTTAATTTATTGTCAATTATCGTCAGTACATATTGCTTCATTCTATATTAAACTAATAAGGGCATTAAGATGTACCTAAGTGATTATTTTCGCTAAATTGTGCACTATAATGACAAAGTACACATTTATTTCTAAAATATTTGACACAAATGTAAAGTAGTATTCATTGCTAATCTTTAAAAACTAATGACACTTAATGGCCGTGTTTTTAAATTAACTGTAATAAATGTACCTAATTAGTTTCCCTTTTGTGAAAAATTAGTTAGTTAGAATTAATAGAAGAACTACTTTATTCAAGTTCTTTATGAACCTTATTTTAGTTTAGTCGCTTTAAATCTTCTATCACAACCGTTCCACACATCACACCAACAGTTACTCGTACCTTTAATAGTCCACTGCTGGATATAACTGTCCAACACCAACTGTTAATTAATAATTGTCGTATCAATGACCAGCTAGATTCATGTCAAGCGATAGCCGGACTGACTGGCCCATAAGTCGTCGCGGCAGGAGGCGTTCATAGATTATTAAAATAGATAATCATTTGATTATACTATTTATAACCATTAGTAGACATTATGACAGTATAAAGGTATTACACCTTTTCAAATAAATGGTTTTTGTGATATCCAGTAAATGTTACATTCTATTGCTTGTGTAGTGAAGTGCACTAAATATTTCTGTTGTCCAATAATTGTTTTTTATTCTTGGAAAAATTCAAGTAGCTATGAAAAAAATGTTTTGGATAGAAATTTAGAGAAAACATCATTTTTGCTCTGATTTTTTTAGGTCTAAGATGAACAAAACTTTTGCTACTGATGCCAAATCACGATAAAATGACAAGTTTGACAATTGTTTCTGACGAATCACGCGTTATATAATATGGATGATTTACTTTGAGTATGTTATAAAAACTGTGTTTCAGGCCCTTTTAAATATTCGTCAATTCTTATGAATAATAAATTAAACAGAGTGTGATTTATTAAGCAAGTTAAGTATTTTAAGCTGTTAGTAACCTTTCATGTATGTTTCTTTCCGTCTGAAAACCAAATGATAATTAATCGCAGTATTCTTTTGAAAGGTGGTACTTTCCAAGTCGGAAGTTCTAATTTGAAGAAAAATCTGTCGTGCTCTTATATATTACCTTTAGAACTCCCTATTTCGAATTCAGTGTCCTACTTATTTATTTTACCTTCAGGACTTCTATTTCGAATTCAGTAACCGTTATTTGGTTACGTATTTGCTATTCATGTATCAGCATAATGGACACCTATATCGAATTTTAATAAGTTTGTTACTCTTTACTTTGTTTTTTTTTAAATGAATATATTCATCCATTAGAATTTAGATTGCAAATCAGTTTGAGGGTATCACTTACCACACATATGAAGAAATCAAATTTATGCGTATATTATGTATTTTCATTTGATATATTCGTTTGACAATTCTTTAAAATTCTCGTTAAAACAATATAGATCAACGTTCACAATACCACCTATCAGTAACTTACAGTAAGTAACTTCGTCTAAACTAAAAATATGCATAACAAAAATACAGAATCGAAAATAGTCAAGATCGTTATCTACCTGAAACTTGCATATGAACCATTACTTATGATTACTATTGAAATATTACTTAGTAGGCAGTGCCCTGCAGGCATAGGTGTCATTTTAAAGTATTTTTTTTTACATTCTTAGGCGTCGCCCAAGGACACCTGCTTCTCAATAGTCACAAGTTCTTTAACGCCCTTTGAGTGCCACTCTCTTTCCCCCTAGAATTGGCAGCCTATTATAGTATTATAGCATGGCTGTCCTACCGTCAGTCTATATTAAAAGAGTGTATATGTCACTTTTTTAATAACTGATCTTATTTTACGAACGTAAATCAAATTTTCAAAATATACTGTCATGTCCCTGTCGTTATATTAATTTCTTTAACTATATCAATTACCTAAGCTATAAATTGCTCAGGGAATTACTGTACCACGAAGATAGATTGAATATTGACGGCATTTTCCCAAGTGCAATACCCACTACATAATACTATCTCAGGAATACTAAAATTTTTCACTCTTTTCACAATTTTTTTCTGACTGTACGGTGCAGTGTTCCAAAAGTTACCGAAAATTAGTTGGATATAAAGAACTATCATAATACCTAAATTTAATGTTAAATCAATTTTAAAGGAAAATTAATGGAACTGCATTCTATTCATTTTATTTTAAAATTGATTTTGCAATAACTTGAAAATTTTGCGGTAACAATGCAAGTTTCCTACTTTATCTGGGGATATATAGGGACTCCCATATTCACTGTGCCTTCCTGACAGCACAGGTAAAGCGACTAGTCTATCGAGATCATTGCATATTTCATGCGACTAAATCTCTAGACAATAAAAACTGGTGCGATGTTGTTTATTTTTAACTAGATTGTGTGACGCATTCAAACACTACAAACTCCACGCCACTATGACATCAACAGTCTGCAATCGATTAGCCTCGCCAGCTAGGCTCTGGAAAGGTTCGGCTTTGATGTAATGCACTTTCTTGCACACCATAGGAAAATAACTTATCACGTGATCGCATCATACACTATTAATATGCAACGGTATCCTTAACACCTATCCTAAAAACGGCAACGGACGTGAGCAGAGCAGATACCTTGTAATATTCGTCCGCAACTAGGCTACTATTTTCCATCGGGGATTTGTTTTATTTACCTGTTTAATGTGTTTTTTTTTGTCTGTATGCTCGAAAAGCAGATACATCCTAGCTCCTCTTTATGACCAAGAAATTTATGGTGGTGTTATTGGGCTTCAAAACACAATTGCAGACTGTCTGAAGCAAGCCTCTGTCACAACATAATGCAACATACGCTATGCGGGAACTAGCGCATTTTACCTCCTCTCCGTTCTCATTCGCATTCCTGCTGACTTTTCCTTTCATAATTGTTCACTAGATGGCCCTTGCTAGTATACGGGCTTGCTGTTGAAAGCTCTTTGATCCGATATGTCTTTACTCACTCGACTGTGAAAGCGAAACATATTTGCTTCACCTCCAATGGGATCCTATAGGTCTTGGATGCCCTTACTTTATGTTAAACATACGAACTGGATCCCTAGGTGTTCGACCCTCGTGATGTTAATTTTACATCGGAGGACTGAATACTTTTCCCTGTCTAATATCTTTTTCGTAGGCGCTCAAGTCTTGGATTTCGAGACTTATATCAAACCCTATTCTGGAAACTACTATTTTAGCAGTATGTATTTAGATATGATTATGGTAAACAAAGTGCATCGTTTGCTAAAAGCAATAATTTAAATGTAATAATAACGATAGAAATTGGTTAAATTGTGTAGTCAAAGTTTCTGATAAATGGAATTAAAACTCGGATTGATACTTTTATGATACACCGTACCGGTCAAATATGCGATATCATATCTAGTCTTAACAAAATTCGCTTACTGATTCAGAACAACCGAACTATTGTATCATGCAGGCGCTCTATTGAAACTACGTCATAACTCGTACAACACCGTGTAATAAGTTGCCGGTGATAGATATCGAATGTCTCTTGTATTTATTGTTCGGTGCTATAAACAGATGGATGGTGTCAGAACTTCTGTAGCTAGTTAGAATGTAGAAACGTGCCTGAATCAGTTTGGTAGTGTCATCACCTTTGTTTACAAGTAAGGAATAATGAAATTTAAACGTCCTTTTTGAGTTAGTTTACTAACTGTGAAGTATTAAAAAGAGAAGACTACTTTTTGATCAAGCTGGCTATGTATGTGTAATAAAAAAAAGTCTTGTTAAATTAAGTAATTTAAAAAAGGCAATGAAGGTCTCACCGTCCTACCTATGCTATCTACTCCATATGTTAATCATATTTATGCCACTGTCAATCCTCTTCACCGTCAGAGAGCACATTATACAAAAAAAGACATTAAAATCAC